GTCATCTTCATTTATGATAGGGGCTTTAATGATGCGCAATGTGAGTCATAAATACGCATCGTAAGGTTTACGACACGCAAATGTGTGTCATCTTTCTTTATGACAGGGCCTTCCTTGACACGCATTGTGTGTCGTAAACGTGCGTCGTAAATGCTCATTGTAAATTTATGACACACAAAAGTGTATCGTCTTTCTTTATTACAGGGCCTTCCTTGACACACATTTGTGTATTATCTGTGTGTTTTGCGACACACAATGTGTGTCATTAAAGAGTTTTTGTAGTAGTGGATCCGCCTTCATTTCGTGGATCCATGATCTATCTAGTATATCATTATAAGAGGATAATGTATCTATTACACAAAAATGTTGCATAGAGTTTACCCCCTCAATGTGGATAGGATATTTTGATTACTTCGAACTATGGGATGTTCATTCATTTTAATGCATTACTTCGAACTATGGGATGTTCATTCATTACTTCGAACTATGGGATATTCATTCATTTTAATGCATCCAAGAGTATAATGTTGACCTAGGATCCTTCATCGACAAGGATCCTTCTAATAAAATGGTTGGCGATGTAAAGAGTGATCACCAATCGGACGTGGTGAGGATTCTAGATGTCTTGTCTATCTGCTTCGTTGAAGGTGATCTCCTTCTCGTTTTTTATTGACGTATTCTTCCGTGGCATTTCTTCTTTTTCTATTTTTAACACCCTGACATGCCTTTTTGCCGTAGAATAAGAGGTACCACAAATGTCAGATCCTCCAGATCACATTGATTACCTTAGCGCCATCAGGAGAGGGTCCCAAATTATTGAGGATCTTCTGAGGATCCTGATCTTTATCTTTGGATCTTTCCTTTCTTTTTTCAAGGATTTCTATAAGGTATCCTTTGCTTAAGAGGTAGTTGATCTCCTTCCTGAGATTTATGCAATCTTTTGTGATATGACCAAAGTCTTCATGGTATGTACACCATTTGGATTTGTCTTCCAAGTGGTGGATTTTTCTCCCTTCCATGGCCATCTTGCTTTGTCACTAAGATCCTTCATAGCAAATATTATACCTGATATATCCACAGAAAAGCAATAGTCGATAATATTAGAAAGTTCTTCTTCCTCTCCTTCATCTTAAAGGGCATTAACCCTATGATGACCAGGTTTGGAATATGGTTTCGACTTGTAGGATCTTTGTGCTAATGAGTCGGCCTTCCTATTAGGGTGATCGTATGAGCTTGGCGGGTTTCTCCTTTTTTGGATTTCTTCTCTTCTTCGAACCTTATGAATCTTAATAATCTGCTTTGGACCTCATCTATTCTCTTACATAGGGTCATTACAAGGTCTTCGTAGAAAGGAGAGTCCTTTTTAAGCCCATTTTAAAGGCTTCAACTGCAGTCACTAGCTCAATGTTGGGGATACTCATAGCTTCCCTGCCAAACCTATTCACAAATGTCCTAATGGATTCCTTAGGATCCTGGACCACTCGATAAAGATCACTAGTGATATTTTTTAATGTTATTCTACAAGAAAATTGATTGTTAAACAAATTAACTAAATGAGTAAATGAAGTAATCGAGTAAGGAGGAACGTTAAGAAGCCATTTTAAGACTAATCATGTGAGGGTCGAACCAAAACCCTTGCACATGCAAGCTTCCTTCAAGTGTGTGGGAATGGGAATGATCTACATTCTTTCCCTGTACTATGTGAAATGCTCCTCAGGATCTGTGGTCCCATTATAAGACTTCATGTTGGGTGTTTGGAAGCGCTTTGGGACCTCGGTGTCAGCGCTTGTAGGAACGCATCTCGAGATGTTGTGGCTTGTGCGGGATACTTCTGGTATAGGTTAAACTACTCCACGCACGCTTGAGATCATTTGTCTTAATTGATGAAGCTCCTTAGCCATGATCGGGCTTAAACCTATATTAAGGTCCATAGAGTTAGTAGTGAGGATATTAGTATCGACGAAGTTACCAGGATCCTTGTTATTGGGAATAACGAAGGTTTTGATGGATACTGGGTCATATGGGCTTGCTCTCTTGGAGTTGCGCCCCAAGCGGGAACATAGGTCGGTATTGAGGATCCTATCTCATGGCGATTCGCTGAGGATCTTGTGTTATCAAAGTTTAGGATCTTGGGCTGCAAGATGGAGGGTGTTGCTTCTTGAGGCTTATGGATTTCTGCCCTCATTCTCTCCATTTCCTTAGTATTATCTTGTTATCCTCTTTGTGGTTGAGTGATTTGTCGTTCTAGTCTTTTCATCATAACGAAGATTTCATTATTAGAAATCAGCATAGGAGGATCCTGAAGTCCTTGGGTAGCGACCAGAGATGTGTTTTCTTCAGTGCCTTAGAGGCTTTCTTGGGAGCTCCCCTGGGGTGGAGCAAGGTTTTTAGAGGAAATATGAGGAATAAAGAAGGAAGATATGTTTGGCTGTGTAGACATGATTTTCCAAAAGGTATGGAACACCACGGCCCCATGGTGGGCGCCAAATTGTTTTGGTCAAAAATCAACTGAGTAGAATCTAACCAAATTGCATGAGAGACTATGATGTTCATGGTAAATCAAGTAGGAAATGATAATCAAAGTGACACAAGTGAGTTACAAGGAAACCCTTGATCCTTGATAGGATCTCCAGCATAAAACCTTGGAAGGTAATGATGATCACATGTCTTGATGATTTTATTGATATAAAATGTTGATTTATAGAGATGAACGTGTAAATGTAAGTACAAGTATCGTGGATGAGCTCAGTATATCCCTAGTGTGATAGTTACATGTGCTATTTATAGTCTAATGCTAATAACGGGAAGTCCAATAATTATGGGATCCTCCAGAATCAACATATGAACGTTATTTGACTTGGTATCTCGGGTCTTTTTTCTGGTTGAGATTACTTTCCATTGAGAATGAGTATTGTGTTGACTCGTTCTGCACATATGAGAAAAATAAATAAAATATAGTCGTTACAAGTGTTACAAATATTAATGGTAATAGTCAGAATTTCAGGAAATGTTTATGGATCCTAAGGCTTCAGAAGTATTTAAGGATCTTGAATATGAGTTAAGGATCCTTCCCCTAACAACAGTAAAGATTAGTTTTTATTATATATGTTGATTTTGGTTTTTGATTTCAAGATAGTTATTATTATTATTATTATTATTATTATTATTATTATTATTATTATTACACACTAGGTTAAAACTATATAATACATGGTCCAAGAGTTAAAAATAGCATAAATAATATATAATAAGTAATTTCCTATACATAAAAAATTGAATAAGATTGAGTAACATTAAATATTTATAAAATGATATTTTTCTAATAAGATTTAACTAAAATATGACATAAATAGATATTATGTATTTATTTAGTAATTAAGGATAATTCCACAACTAAATGTCACTACAACCACAAACATAAGAATACAAACATTTAAGCTTATATCAATTGAACCAATGATAAGCATTGAAATTCCAATTATTGACCGAACTCATAAAACCTTTTATCTTTTTGTTCCGATGTTTATCTGTACATAATGGAAACCGGAAAGTACCATAAAACTGAATATTATAAACATATTTAAAGTTTCAAATAAGAAGCCCTTCAAATAAGAAGCCCAAGAAACAAAGAGAAAGAAGTTTTTGTAGTATTTTTTCTTTTAATTTATATGAATGTATTTTTTGGATCAATTGTTTGTCTAGATTGAGTATGTATGAACGAAATGGTAAAAAAAATGTTGATTTTGATGCAAGACCAACAATCAAAATGATAATTATACTTTTAATAAAAAAAATGCTCTTTTATAGAAAGTTTATGAAAATTTACTTGAAAAAAAGTAATAAATAAGTTGGATGTGCATCCTTGGAAAAAGATAATATAATATACAACGGATTAGTATTCAAACATTCATAGCTCTATATAATTAAAGTTTGCTCTAACTTTTCTCACAAACTTCTGCTCTTCTACCATCCAAATTTTACGAATGTTACCGACAATATATTATGTTTTGCTTGGGCTGTATGACAACCAACCATTTTGTGTTGCTCATTTTTCAGTCTTTTTCAACTTTACAACACTTTTGTCATATAATCAAATTATTAATAGACATTGTAAAAAATAACTGATTTTTTGTCATTAATAATCAAACTATGCTTATATTAAAATAAAAAAATTGTATAAATTATTGATATTATCTTTAAATTATAAAGTTGAAAATTTAAAATTTTGAAACAATTATAACAGATTAATACACGTAAAACTACAAATTAATAGGATTCTAATAAACATTGGATTTTGTTTTTTATTATTTTTTTATTTTTAAGAGTATGAGGCCCTCAATGAATTTTGGGTAACACTATTCGGCTTCTTGGGAGCACTTTGGGCTTTGGGCCGATTTTGTTGGATCTATCAGCTTTCAACGCTTGCAGCCCTCCTTACAAAGCAACGTCGCAGTCAAGACCAAAAAAAAAAACATCCCTACGATCAAACTTTAACCTAATTCTTGTTTGATAATTTTGAAATCCCTGTATTACTTTGCATTTTAGTGATACGTGTTATATTTGATTAAGTAATTATAATTAATTGGTTATTTGTGAAATGCAGTTAGGTTTTAGCCTAACGTAATTTTAGAAGCCCTAATTTCTATTACTTACATTTTTTAATGCTTTATATCTTTATGATTGTTTGTAAAAATTATGTTCTTAAATTTGATGTGTGATAATGTAATATGTTAATTACGATTCCAAACTGTGAAGTCAGTTTTTATGTGATTTTTTTAAATTTCTGAAATTATATGGTTGTTTGAAGTTTTGAACCTAGAATATAGGTCATGTGATGTTAGATTGGAATATATTTTTTTTTGTTGGAATACATATCCATCATCTGAATTTTTCAAATACC